GTTCAGAAATCAGGCCTCTTTAAAACTTAAAGCTGTTGCAACTTTTGTTCATATAAAAATATTAATTGCGACTTTCAATATTTTCCATTTATATTTGTTTGTTTAGTTTATGTAGTTTGTTAGTTTAATTTTACAGATATTGGACAATCTTTTTTTGTGGTAGTGGCTGACAGTCATTCACAAAGCATATTCCAAGTGCTAACAGATCATGCAAGGTCATGCATAAAACTGTATCTAATGATATTTTCAAGATTTGACCAGATATAACTATCGTTTCTCATTTTAAGATGATCTTTGTCTAAAACTTAGGTATAAAATGTGGGAGGTGATGTGCATTTCTTCAAGAAACGTTGGACCTTTATTTATTGTCAGAAACAAACACATTTCTAAGTTCAGCCTTTGGGTGTCATCCTTCCAACCATCTGAGTTACCAGTAATCAGGTGCTTAAAAAAATGCAGAAAAGCACTGGATCAAAAACAAAGAGAACATTTAAGCCACAAGACGCTTCTTCAGGTTTTTACAAACTGAGTTCTGAGCTGGTAATCAAGAGGATATTTTTATTTAATAATAATAAAAAAAAATCAAAACCTATACTTTTTTTTTATTTTTTTTTTACATTTGAGGTTATTAAGAATCAAATGTCAGGAATCAGAACTCATTTAAACCAAAAGTCCTCCCTCAGGCAGACACTGTTTGACATATTTTCTTGTTAAACTGCAGAACAAATTGAGAAACTGCATTTCCTGCGAAAATGCAGTATGAATGCTTGTTGCAGAAGAACTTGCTGAAAAACAGCTGAAATTAGCTAAAAACATGCTGAAATATACTGTAGCTAAAATGGATGAACAAGCCTAAATTAGCAGAAGAAAGCAGAAAGAACACATATTTGCTGAATTACGTTTAAATAAGCAGAAAAAAAGCACAAAAATGAGGAAATTAGCTTAAAAAAAGTTGAAATTAGCACAAAATAGCTGAAAGTAGCTGACAAGGCAGAAAAAAGCTTAAACTTCTAGAAAGGGTTAAGAGCTGAAATGAGCTCCAAGAATGTGGAATTTGCTCAAAAAGCAAAATTTAGCATAAAACAGTTAAAAAGTAGCTGGAATAGCAGAAAAACACTGAAACTAGCAGAAATAAGCTGAAAGGACCACAACAAGCTGAAATTAGCAGAAAGACGTTCACTAGGCTGAAAGTAGCAGAAATTACCACAAAAAACTTGAATTTATTTGAAAACAGCTGAAGTTAGCTAGAAATGCTAAAATGGTAGCTGAAAAGGTAGAACAAGCTTAAATTAGCAAAGGAAAGCAGAAAGAGCATGCTTGCCCAATTAGACAGAATGAATAAATTAGCACAAAAAAAATCCAAAGTATCGGAAAAAAGTTGAAATTAGGAAAAAAAAAGTAAAAACAGCTGAAGATTAGCTAAAAAGCAGAACGAAGCTTAAAAGTAGTAGGAAGTGGAAAGAGCACATTTTTGCTTAATTAGGCTGACAAAAGTTGTAATAAGTGCAAAAAAATGTGGAATTAGCTAATTAAAAAGGCTTAAATTAGCATCAAACAGCTAAATGGTAGCTGAGATAGCAGAAAAAGCTGAATCTTGCAGAAATAAGCTGAAAGGAGCATAACAAGCTGAAATTAGCAGAAATAAGTTAGAAGATGCACAAAAATGTTGTAGTTAGAGGAAGGAACACAAAACAGCTAAAAAAAACCATATAAAAATAGCTGATATAATATTTAAATTTGCACAAGGAAGCTGAAAGAAGCTGAAGCCGAACAAAATGTGAAGGGAGCAGTAAAAGTTTGTAAACAGATCTAAAGATTTGAAGGATGTAAAATGAGCTCATTTTCTATGAGGAAAAAAAATGGCAGAAAAGGCTAAATATTTCAAAAAGCTAAAGTTGCACTAATACCAAAAATCATAGGATTTCCCTGAAAGAGCTGAACGTTTTGATTTATGATTTGATGAAATAGCTCAAAAATTATGGAACAAGAAAAAGCTGACAAACTTGCGGAAGAAAAATGGATCACAATAGTGTGAATGCTTCTTAAGCCTTCACACAACAATCAAAGCCCCAGACTCGTTAAACAGAATGGTCTGTCATCTCACTCCGCAGGACCGGCACCTCCACAGGAAAAGCTTCAGCTGTGGCCCTCCCTGTAGAATATTGTGTCTGAACTGTGTGGTTCAACCTAACTTCCTGTCTAACAGAACATCTGGATATTTGTACTCTCACAGTATCTTCACCATCTCTTCCCTGAAGGAAAGGCAGTCTGGACTCACAGAAACACATGAACTGACTGTAACAGCACTGTACGTGAGGGTGGTGTGTGGGGTGTTGACTTTTCATGCTGACACCAAGATTAACGTGCACATTCACAGCTTTCTCACACTCATTCCAAAGGAGTGGCACCAGCTGAAGTTGGAGGGCAGAGTTGGGAAAAGTGCATAAACTTTCTGCGTTTACTCAACGGACAGGTTATTGCTTGTTGTGTCAGTAAATGTCACCTCCTCTTCAAAGTGGACATTTTTGAAAAAAGCATCCACGTAGACAGCAGATATTATAAGGTTAATAACTTAGTGGAGACTGTTAAAAAAAAGTTTTTGCAGAATATTTCGCAAAGCATGTTCTTTCTCTATATTTTGACGTTTTTGATATGGACTTTAATGCTGTGATGTGTTGTGGCATAGACATTAAGCATCTTTTTTTAGAGAAAATTTATTTTTCCAACATAAATACCTGTATAGGTCCAGCTACACTACTCTGGAGAACAAACATGTCAGGCTTGGTCAGGTGTGGTCACTAAACTAATTTTATTTCTGGATGCTGATTGCACTTTTCTCCTGGTTATTAATGATTCAATTCATGATCAAAGTTTAACAGGACAAGATAAGGACAAAGTGACCCCCCAACACCAACACACACACGTATGCAAGTGTGTGTATGTGTGGCAACTCTCTGCTCCACACAGAGGGCTGCGGTAGCTCAGTGGTCTGCAGTTACATCAGGAAGGGCATCCGGCATAAACAACTGCCAAGTCTTCATGCGAGTTACCATACCATACCATACCATACCATACCATACCATACCATACCATA